GCCGCGCTGCCCCGGGAGCGAGCTGCTCCAGGCGCCTGCAGCCCCCAGCTCCGGAGCCGCGGAGCGGGACTCGGGCTGCGGGCTCGCCCCGCTCGGGGGGCCGACGGGCCGGTGGGTTTTCAGAGCGGGGACCGGAGGTGACAGATGGCAGCCTCTCTCGTACTCACGCCTGGCCCTCGTGCCCTGCGACCCCGGCCCCATTCATCACAGAGGACCCGGACAGTGCAGGGCCCAGAGCGGCGCTGAGCTGAGCTCGAAAGCGCCAGTGCCGCGGCTTCGGTTTCAGCTTGGCCCCAGCGCCAGAGCGTTTCCTGTGGGAGCCCCAGGGATCTGTGGGGCTCGGTTTCCGTCGCTGGCGGAGCTCTCCCTAGAGGGTGCGCGCACCCTGGCTGGGTGGCCGCTCCCACACTCTGGTGAGTTAAGGACACTGGCCTGGGGGCGGGAAACCGGGATTCAGAGCCTGGCTCCTCCTCCTCCGGGCTGTGACCTGGGTCCCTGTCTTCGTCTAGTGGTCAGGATTAAAGGAACATATGAAAGTTGTGGTTGCTGTGCAAGTTGGGGTGCTCTGGGAAGGTGTTCAGTTCTCTTTCTCATTGGAGCCCCCTCAGCGATAATCATAAGTCAGATACTATAGTAATCGTTGCCTTTTATAGCTTAGGGTGCAGGTCTGTTCAAATACTTTAAAAGGGCTTTGAAAATGACAGAGCATTGTTTACAGCAACAAGAAGTTGCTGAACTTCGTTTCCAAGCCAACAGCATTAGAGCACTGGCCATCTGGTGGCACTTCCTTTCTGTCATTACATTCCCGGGCGGCCTTGTGCACAGTAGGCCTCGTTGTGGGAGGGCTCTGGAGTCAGCCCTGGCTTCCCCACCAGGGCCGCTACCCTGAGTGTGGAGCGCGGGCCTGGGCTTCCCTGCCTCAGAGGTGCCACACTTGCTGAAAGGGGTCTCTGGAGAGGGCCAGGAGGGCCAGGAGGGCTGGGAGGCCGCGGCTGCCACTTCCCCTACAAGGGGCAGTCTCTGTTTTCCGCTGAGGGCCCAGAGGGAAGGACACAGGAGGGAGGAGAGCTGAGGGAAACTGCGGGCTGCGGATCTTCAGTAAAGCCTTTGTGCGGACCGGATCATAGTTGTGTGCTGTATGGCTGAGTGGTTTGGGATCGTTTAACAGTCACCAGCCTCTTCAAACAATGGTGCTGTGGTCCCGGCATTTGCAGATGGACCCTAATCAGCTTAACTTATTTGAATGTGGAAGCACTGTGATTTCTGTGGGGGAGACAAAAGCATGCCTCTTTGGAGGTCAGAGATGGCAGGGGACTCTTACCATGAAGAGACATGCTGTCTTAGGCTTTATTCTGCAGTCCTGGGTCAGGGTGGGACTGACGGATTACCTGGAAAGGGCCTTCCTTCTGACAGCACTTCCCATCTACCTACCTTCTTAGGTGTGTGCAGAAGGGGCCATATTCAGTACTGACGAGGCAAAGTTGTGGTGAGGAGGTGGTACATAATAGCACACGTCCTGCCAGGCGCTGTGCAGCTGTTTACGGGGTGACTTTGTGCAGCATTATTAATTATGGGCTCATTCTTGGTGCACCTGAGGTGGAAGAAGGTGTAGGGGGCACAGGGTGCTCTTGAAAGCCTCCATAGGACTTGTGCTCCCACATTCTAGGAAGACCAACACAGGGCAGAGACTTCTCAGGTGTCCACTTGTGGTCTCAGGACAGTCCTTGGCCTCAGTCTGGCGGAATGGACGATGTTGATACTTCTTAATTTTGTCCCTGTAAACTTCGGGGCAGTGGGAACTCAGAAAAGGGGGTTTGGGAGTTTGGCTTGAGGTTTCTGACCCTTTCAGTGTTAACTCAGTGGTTTAGTCCTTTGAGAAGAAATGGAATGTACGATTCTTTTTAAAATTTTTGATAGGAGGGTCTTTCTGTGTTGCCCAGGCTGGTCTTGAACCCTTGTGTTCATGGGATCCTGTCACGTCTGCCTCCCCACACTGGACTATGGTGGATGCCAAGGCTCCTGATTTGGTTTCACCTTGTTTTAATGTAATAAAAACCACTTGAAGTTGTTATTTCAGTCAAAAAACACTTGCTAGGAGAAGATGCACCTGGTCTTTCTGAAGTCCTGGGAGGCCCCGAGCTTAAGTATGCATGTACCCTAGTTTGAGGATCTTGGAGCTGGTTGTTTTTAGGTTGTCTTCTAGTTCTGCTCTTTATTACACACCAGGACATTCAAAAGCAGGTCATCTACCCAGAGCGAATGAACTGATGTTTGTACTAATGTGAGAAAGAAGATCTGATATTGAGGGGCAGTAGGTATATTAATAAGTGGATGAACTACTGGAATATAAATCATCTGTATTTGAGTAAATGAGAATATGCTATGGATATTCAGGGGACTTTAAAATCTCATAAAAAGAAATAGTTGACAATAAGCATGAACGTGTGGATGAAGTGGCTGGAAAGTGTGTGTTTGGCTTGCCTTCAGAGCTTCCCCATTTCTGCGTTCCTCCATAACGACTGGACTTCCTTATGAAATAGCATGAGTATGTTGATGGGAAAATGCCACTGCCTGCTGACCTGCTCCACATGGATCGCTGTTAGGAAATTCTGCATTAAATTATGTTGCCACAGGTTATTCAAGCTTCTTGGAGTGGATATGAATTAGACTTAGGAGTGTGGGATTTTGTTTCTTCTCCAGATTTGGAGCAGAAAGCGCCTATACATAGGAGGAGGACTGTGGGGTTTTAGAAGCTCTCGCTGGTTCCTCTGGGTTTCTGGTAAAACTGACCAGTCTTTCCAAACAGCTCTTCAGGATC